TTGTTTAATCTGAATTTTATCAATTAATTCTGAAAATCTTTAAAATAGCAATTTTTAAAAGGATGAAATATTTACTTATCTTTAGTCTACTTTTTTTTTTTTTTTTAGAAATATCTCAATTTTAAATATCTGTGAAATGGCAATACTATCTGCTGATTTAAATACAGTTTTTTTAAAAAGTACTTTAATTTTACAGTCAAACAGTTTTGACCTCTTTTTGTGGTTAATGTGTAAATTAATGTTGTGAATTTAATTTTTTTTAACAACTTACTGTTATTTTACAGAATAAACTGTGAAAACAGTAAAAAATTATGACATATATCTGCAAAATAATTGTATTTTTTAACAGATTTAAATACAGTAATTTAGCAAAATTGGGAAAATCTGTAAAATAACGGTTTAAAGAAAGAATTTCATATTTTTCAATCTTTAATATGCTTTTTTTCAAATAAAAATAGATTATTTGAATTATTAATAATGTTCTTGTTTCTGATTTAACCTCTTAAAGCCCGAGCGCTTGTTTGATTTGCATTTTTTTTATTCCTATTTGCTGTTTGATCTGGTCAAATAGCAAAGAGGAATATATATATATATATATAAAGAAAGCAAAAATGTATTTTAAAATATGTATTAATATATTTTTTAAATAAAAAATATTAAAAATAAAAATGAATATCAATAATAAAATAATTAGAATAAAATAATATTTTTTTTTTTTTTTTAAATGAACTACCGTAGTAATATAACACAAAAAGTGATGTTTAGAGGTTATGTGCAGTAAAAAATAATGTAATTTTACGGTTAAATATTATAAAAGAACATTAGCAGAAAAACAACGGAACAATTTATTGTTGTTTTTACAGATTTTCTCCTTTTTGTGGTAAATTGCAGATAATAATAATAATGTTTTGTGAACATTTTTAACTGTAATTTTTTTTAAAAATTTAAACAATTTACTGTTATTTTACAGATTTTACCTTTTTTGTTGTTAAATTACAGAAACACTATAAAACTAGTCAAATCACAGAAAAGGTTTTGGACACAAACCATGAGTCGGACTGAGACAACACAGCTGCACAGATCATAAATCATAAACGAACAGCCTCTCAGAAGGTCTCCACAGCATTTCTTTTATCTTCATCACCATGACCAGACTGTGTGTAATTATTTCCTATTAGTCTCACCAGAATAATCACAGAAATGTGGCAACCATTCAAACTTATCCAGAGCGAGAGTCTGCTTCTCAGTGCGTCCGTTACACAACTCCACACGGCACACATGGTGGAGGGTTTAACTCCCACAAGGGCGGATCTGATTTCTGGTTTCTGTTTTGTCTTTTTTTTTCACTTTTCTTTTTTAAATCGATTTGTTTTGTGAAATGTTCTCTCCAGGCCCAGCATGCACACAAACCTCCACATCTGCTTTTATACCTTCAAGATAGTTTTTCTAACATTAAATAGCAACAAACTCATAGCATCTAGTCCAAAATCTGAATTGTCAAAGATTAAACCAACTATTTCCAACTTTTTAGGCCCTAAAACCCCAGCGTCTAGTTGAAGCCTCTTGTCGTGTTTCAGGTGTGAGCTGTTTCTCCTCTAAACTTGTCGATTAACCTCCAGTTTCATCCTAAAAGACTATTTAGTATTTGACAAAGACACAGAAATTAAAACGACATCCAAAAAATAAATAAAAGAAGTACATTAGAATTTAGTTTGTAATTTTTTCTCTCTCCTTAATCACATCATGACCCATTACATTTATTTCCTTGTGGCTCTTTAGAGGTGCAGCGGCCGACATGTTGGTGGATCAGTGTTAACAAACCAGTATTCAAACAATGAGGGAAAGAATGAACACATGTAGCTGATAATACGTCTCTATTTTTACTAAAGGATCTGTTTTTCAAACAGACAGTGACTATAAGGGTTATTATGATGGTAGCAGTGTTGGGGATGTTTTTGTCACACACATTTTAAATTTAAAAAAGCCAAATGTATGACAATGACACCACAGAGATTTTAAAATGTGAGTTTTTCTTGTCTTTTACTTGATTTATTGGAAGCTTTGCCCAGCAGTAGATGCTTTAAATGACCTGCAGTGTTATAAATAAGAGAAGGATTTAAGGTTTTTAAATATTACAGAGCACCAGCTGCGTTGGTACACTAGGGGGCGCTGGAGATCAAACCTCCAGGACTGAGCTGCTCCTCACTCGTATTATTTGAGCTGTATCGCCCCACAGTGTTCACTTGACTGAACCAACAGGTGACTCGGCTGCTCCACCGACTTGCTCTCTGTGTCGAATACAAACACCACAAACCGGTACCGAGGACCGGTTCCTCACCGTCAGACACACTGACACATATTTAAGTCGCATGTCATGAAGGTTCCTCCTGGGAAGCCACACAGGTGACAGAGCTGCTTAATAAAGTGATTTTTACAGTGCAAAAGTTGAACTGATTAAATGTTGGCAATGCTGACACACGTCTAACAGAAAATAATCAGTTAAAGAAGTTTGAAGTCACAAGTTTTCATCCATCCGGTGACAAAAAACAGCTTCAAACCTGCTTTCGGTGCTTTTATTTCTGCGTTAACTGATGTGTAGTCAAAGCAGGTTGCAGGTTGTGTAATGTAAATATGCTGAAATGATTCAGACTCTGAGAATGTGGTTTTCACATTATAGCTCCTTATATCAACTCTGTACCGTGTACGCTGCAGCCTAAGTGACAGAAAGCAAACACGAGTATTTACTTTACTGTCTCCAGTATATTAGATCCATTATACTGTGTACATAAATGAAATAGTTACAACATAAACCAACAGTTATAGGAGACGTCTGAGTCTTAAGATATACACTGTAAAAAAATCAGTACAGTAAACAGTGGAACATTCTAAAACTGTGAAAACTGTTAAAATATCAACATAAACAAGCTTAAGGTGACCACACTGTTAACTGTTTCTAAGTGATTTTATTTATTTTTTTAACAGTTTACCATTCTTTACTTTTAGTGGTGAATTAATAAATTGAATTTCCCTTCTGGGATAAATAAAGTATTTTTCATTTCAATGAATAGTAAAAATAAATTAAAATCTGTTCATTTAGATGTTAAAACCTAAAAAATAAACAAAAACAACTGTATATAATGTCCACATCACAAATCTGTATTTGTACAAATAGTGATTTGTTTATTTAAAATGTGTGACCATAAACTTAAACTTGTTTACGGTATTTTAAATGAGCAAAAAATAAATTATTCTATGGATATTTGCCATTTTCTTTAGAAAAAAAAAAATGGAACATTAAGGATTAAAAATGGTAATGTAAATAATGTTTGTTTGTAACTTGTTATTTTGGTAAATTACAGAAAATATGTAATAAAATCTCAGACAAAAGTATTATTTTTACATGTTTACCTCAAAAACAAGAAAACAGGTCAAGACTCTTACACATAATGTCAACATTAAAAATCTGTATTTTTACTATTTGTTCTTTTACAATGTGTAAAATAATTATTTTTAAAAAGTTGTAAAAAGTTTTCCTGGATTTAAATCAGTTAAAAGTAGTATTCTTTGACAAATATATTTGTCGATCATTTTTGCAGGTTCTACAGTTTTTGAACATCAAAATATTCCACTTTAAAAAAAAATTTAAAAACATGTTTTTCTTTCGTGGCACCCTTGCTGGCAGATTTTCACCATCTTTTTTTTTTTTTTTTAAACATTGTAGCTATGATCGGAAATTTAATAAAACAGGGAAAATCTACAAAATAACAGTAAATTGTTAGATTTTCTTTTTTCAATTCTTTTTTTTTATTATTTACTTTTTTTTTTACAGTGCAGGAAAGAACCTGAAAAATATTTAAATACTTTATTAAAATATTTTTAGAGTGGAAATAAGGCTTGATACAACAAAACACACGAGTGAGAAAAAAAAACTGATTTATAACTTTATTGTTACTGTGTGACGTATTGGGCTGAGAGAGAGAGAGAGAGAGAGAGAGAGAGAGAGAGAGAGAGAGAGTGTGTGTGTGTGTGTGTGTGTGTGTGTGTGTGTGTGTGTGTGTGTGAGGACTAGTGTTCCCAGCAGCAGCAGCAGCAGCAGTCAGTCAGTCAGGAGTCGCACCTTTGCTCCACCAGCTCCGGCTCGTCGCTCCTCCTCTCCTGCTTCTCTCCACTCAGACCTGCTTCTTCTTCACTCGTGTGAATATTTAAAAACAGCTTCGACTTTCTCCTTTTGTTTTTTTAAACCTTCAGTTTTATTCCCGGACTCTCTCTCTGGTCACTCTCTCACCGCCGAGTCGACGCGAGGCACCGCTGGATGTAAGTAAACGCGACTTTCTTTATTCTCAACTCTGTTCAAATTCGTTTCCTTTTATCAGAGGAGCGTCTTTATCCAGTTTTTTTGCGGTGAAAGTTGCGGGTTCGTTTGCGCCGCTTTGTTCCTTTTCACCTTTTTGTCGCCTCGTGGATGAGCCGAGCTGCGCGGCTTCTGGATAAACAATGAAATTCACCTGATGGGGAACAGATCAGGAAGCAGGACGGGGTTTTATAAGGAAAAATAAAGCTTACAAGAGTAAAAACTGAAGTGAGACAGTGTGTGAGGTGGTTTAAAGTAAGTGGCCTCCTTTGGTTCTGTAATAGCAAACTGTTTCTGTGCTCTGTAATCTGGAGCATCTCCGTCCAAACCACCTGCTCTTCACACAAATGCACATTAAAAGCACCACTGTGTCTTCTAAAGGCTTCTCTGCTGCCAACTGCCCATTTCCAACCCCGATCAAATCCCCTTTCCAGAAGCTTAGGGGGTGATTTTGTGCCTTGCTTCACTTGCTCATGGGTATTGACACATTTTCTTCTTTCCTCCCCCTCTTGCCCCTCCAGAGAAAATGGTGTGAACGGCGTTGGAATGCGACGGGATTATCATCTGACGTTAACTCGAAGGAGGCGAAGCAATCGGACCACGAGATTACAACTGATCTCCGCCGCACTACGATGCCTGTGAGGCTGCCATGTCTACGCTGAAGCACGTTATCCTGCAGGAGAAGGACGAGGACATCGACAAGAAGCTGGACTGGAGTTACATCGAGTGGGCCGAGAATGAGGTGGTCGCCGCAGGTGTGGCGGACGCCCAGACCCAGACGGACTCGGGGTCCGTTGAGCACAAGGAGAGTCAGACCAGCAGCCCGGTCATCATGCACATCGACCTCACGAGGACGAACTCCAAGCTCAGACATCTGTCTCTGGTGGACGGCGAAAGCTTGGTGCCGCCTTTCTTCCAGTTCGACCGCCAGGCTCCCGGGCGCATCTCCACGTCGCCCACCCTGAGGAGGATGAGGAGCACGAGGCGTCCCCTGGGCGACTCCAGGGATCCCTCCAGGATGGGCAGCACCCAGGAGGAGCCTTCGTCCGGGAGCCCCCTGTCCCCCGCCCATAGGGTCAAATCCCCTCTAGCGCCAAGCCCCCTCTCCGACGGAGAGATCTGTCACGAGATCTGTTCGTCCTCGGGTCGACAGAGAACCAGATCGCACAGATCAAAGACTTTTGACAACGGTATCACTTCCACGAGGCAGGAATGCCGCAGTGCCCTCGTTGCCCCCGCTAAAGAGTTTGGATTTCCTGACAGTGAAGTGCAGGTGAGGTCTCCTGTGTGTGTGAAATAATTTGTTGTCCTAATCCTCGCTCTTCCCACCGTCCCCTCAAGTCCCGGCCTTCCGCGGATCCCCTATAAATTAAATGGTTACACATTCCTTCCTTGCAGAAACCTTCGCTCCCTCTTGCCTCCTGCAGCGGTCACTCACAATGCGAGCTTTTGACAGCAAATGAATCAGCAGTTACATGCACTGACAGCTCCGACCAAACCCACTGCCTGCAGAGCCCTGGGAAGTGCTCTCCTCGGGCCCCCGTTCACCGCAGTCAGCAGTCACCCAATAATGGAGGGGTCAGTGAGCGATGGAAAAAGATAATGGGGAGATCTATTCATCAGCTCGCCGCATTCAAGCAGGCACATTCTCAATAGAGTCCCGACATTCTCCCCCCAATATCAGAGGCTTTTGAGTCCGAGGGACCACTTAAAACACTGATTCAAGTTTGACCGTCTTTGAAAGTGATCTAGTGCTGTTGGTAGCAGGAGGAGGTCTTGATGCTACAGTAGGACGCCGCTAGTGTGTCAACAGGATGATTGCTGCTTTTGGAAAGTTGAGAGCACTAATAAAGTTCTTTTTTTTTGTGTTGCAGGAGAAGGAGCACGGTCATAATAGGTAGGTGCACTTTGGACTGGACTTTTTTGCATGCTGTCACCGCAGCGCCACTTGTAAAATCCATATTTGCTTATCAGGGAAGTTGTAAAAAAAAAAAAACAACAGCAGCATGTAACCAGTCCCCACCATCTGTTTCCAACATGTCAGAAGAAAAATTCGATCTCCAACAAGCGCCTTTGACTTTATGTGCTCGTGAGCAAGCCGGGATGATTGGAGCTCTTTGGTTTAAGGAGCCCCATTGTGCATTCATTGTCATTCAGGTCTTTGTTAATGGTTCATAAGCTTGGTGGGTTAAGTTTTGAGAGTCCCATGGTTATGTATGGCCTAGACAAACCCTCATTAAGGCTGTTTTCCCCTTACTGCCGCCCACACCCCTCCTAATGGGCGGCCAGGCTCTTCCCCTCACTGGATAATTAGGCAGCTATTGTCCCTGTAATTACACCCTGGCACTGCGCCTCTTACAGTGACCGGGCCTCGCGAGCCATTGGTCGGGACAGTTTTGTTTTGGGGCATCATTATTTCTCTTGTTGTGGAGGAACAAAGCACCCATTTTTTACAAGTGCTCTCGGTGGCAGAGAGGCTGACAGAGAAAGCTTTCTGAGCGCTCTCAAAGCAACAGGATGTCATTGTGAGGATGCTCTGGAATGAACTGCCAGGAGGCACTGACCTGGTTTAGAGGAGTAATCGTGCCTCTCTTACTGTCCCATCAGCCACATATCTTCGGCAGGTGCTGCTCCCGACTGCTATCTGCTGTCGATTCAGCGCCTATACATCGATCTGGAGGTGGTGGAGACGAGGGTGGTGGGGGGGGTTGTATCGGTTTACCAGGGAGAGTGAGGAAACAGTCGGTGCTTTCACGGTTAAACAAAAAGTGTCCCGGGGCAGAAATGTACCAGGTTTCTCCTGTTTACTGGTAGACTCACCTATCCTCCGAGTGCACAGCCCTGCAGCCATGTGGCCTACATGTGCACTCGACTCTCATATTGTGCAACTGTACAGGCCCAAGCAGCAGCAGCCAGAATGCAGCTACTGTATGAGAGGATGTTATGTGCTGAAAGAGGAAGACAGCCTCTTCAGTCCGTATAATGAAGCAGGTTTTACATAGTGGACAGGAACGACCCACGACCAGCATTGTTCCTCTTGTTTGTGCTTCGGTTTATTGTTGTCGTAAACAGAGACATTAGTGAGCCAGGGCTTCCCTCCGCTCTAATTATTTCCTGATAACCTTTATTACTCAGAAAGTGCATTGATCTCCTCTGGTGATTTTTTGTGTTTTTGCCTCCCTTTCGTCTGAACTTTAAACTCTCCCTTTTGAAGCCAAGACCCTGAAATATTTAGAGGCGAAACCTCAGAGCGCTGACGTGGGTCGCTGACCGATTGTCGATCAGTGTCAGCGCGCTGAAAGTGAACCTTTCCTTTCAACTGAACCAGCCTGTCTGGTTGCCGTGCATCTTATTTCTGCACAGTTTGTGATTGTTGGAGTCGCACTGTCACCTATCAAGTTTGTCTAGGTTTAGACTCTTTTAGGTGCTACAAACAAGTGAAAACATCCTCGTCTGCGTATTAAACGTCAGCCTCCATGACATGACATGACATTCATCGACGTCTTTGGTTTTTAATTTCAACTTGTGAATATCCAGTTCTTACTTTCCGCTGTAATAAATGAAGCACAACAGCTGGGGATAAGTCAAAAACACTTTAGAACAGTGGCTGTCTGAGCTCTGCCTGAGGCTAAAAGGCAGGCCCGTGTTTTTCCAGCCACAGCCATGCCTCAGTTGCTAACTATGAAAAGGAGACCAAGAGGATTATAACCGGCACTCTCTGACAGCTCGCCTCCTTCCACACAAACAGGGCGATCCATTAGTCAGCTGCTATCCGCGCATAAGCCAGACATGTAACGCTTATCCTTTATAATTTCTGATTCTCGTGCTAATCTGCCGTTTGCTGCACAATGCAGGTGGTATTTCCGAGGTATTCCAACCACGCAACACGACAAAAGGAATTCAGTTATTTCCTGTGGCATGCACTAAGTCTTGTCTTTAGAAAACAGCACAATTACAGTAGAATAATGGTAGCAACTGAAGACGTTTCTCCTCTCATCAAAGAGGCTTCATCAGTTCTGACTGACTAGTTGGGAGTTCCAGATACTTATATCCTTAAGGAGCCATTAACACCTGAGTTTCACTTTCAGTTGGGGGTTTGTTGCTCCTACCCCTCGTGATGTGAGTCGCTAGTGCTCCCCCTGAAACAATGGGGTTCGTTAGGGTCTTTTGTGGCTAGGTGTGGATGTGGTTTCATCTTGCTGGGGAGAGATCTTAGGACTGAGTTGTAAACAGGTGAGAGGTGATGCCTCAGACCTCCACCTCTGTTGAGGGATGGTCTTTCCAGTTTGACATAGATGGCTTCTGTCACCCCTCTCTCAAACCATCTACCATCTGTTAATGACTCCTTAAGGATATAAGTATCTGGAACTCCCGACTAGTCACTCAGAACTGATGAAGCCTCTTAGATGAGAGGTGAAACGCCTTCAAGGAACTCATGCAAGTCCAGTTGTTCCAGTTAATCTACGAGAATAACCGTGACCTGGATGACTGAGAATCTTCACAGACAGTAGAATAATGGCCCCTGTATGTTACGAGTTTAAATCTTAGCCGAACAGAGCTTTTAGTAATCTGAAGATGTTCATCCGTCTGCTTTGGTGTCCTCAGGCTCCATGAAAGGAGGCGGAGCTCCGTGGTGGTCAGCTTGCCAGGATTGGATGTTTCGCCCGGAGACCTTTTTGTATCCAACGGAGCAGCCGACATATTAAACGGTTCAAACTACTCTGGTAACATTCTCTCTATTATGTCTATTTTAATAGCTTTCCTTGTCATCCTCTGATCTAAGCCTCTAATTTAGTCCGATTAGTTGCAGCAGAACCTGTCTGACTTCTGTTCAAGTCATGCTTCAACTGATCTGTCTGTCTTATTATGACGTCATATATTAGTCCCTTCCATCGTTAAGAGGAAAATGATTTACCAATAAGGACCGTGGTTGCTGTAACCGCGCCTTGATTGCTGCTACGGTTAACCAAGAAACCATGTTCTGGGTTTGGTTGTGGCTCCCAGCAGACAGAGAGGCTGTGCTGAAGAGTTGCCCGGGTTATTTATTGGTTTATACAAACAATATGAACCTTGTAGGTGTAGCCCTTGATCTCTTTGAGCGCAGAAGCCTATTCATTCTCTGAAGTTTCTGGGCGTTTTTTTTGTTCCTGTCACATTTTTATTCACTGTGGGCTCATTTTTCACTGTAATAAAGAGTCCTGGACCTCAATGGAAACTGCACAGTCATGGCTGGAAGTGGAGGGAACTCAGAAACTGCTTTTGCATGATGGGACAAAGTTACAATACCATGAAAAGAAAGAAGTTGAATTTCTTTGATTATTTAATTTGAAAATCTAGAAAAACACGTGCAACATTTTTCCAAATGCAGTTGTTACCAATACTGGATTTAAAAAAAAAGATAACTCTACTTGCTATGGATATTTTACTGCTTACATCATATATTTTATTTTTTCTACTCATTTTCTATTTACTTTGTGTTCAACTAAAAAGTCCCTGAGTCATGGCGGCTCCTCAGTTTCCCCGTGGAGCTCAGAATTTTTGATTTTTTGCAAAATCCGATCAAACCAAACAATTATTTTTTTGCAAATTTTGAAACGGGATGTCGAAAAAAGTGATTTTGCCAAAATTTTATAAAGTTTCAGCCACATTTTCCAACGAAAGGGCACAGATCAGTAGTTTAAGGACCACTGAAGATTGAAAATGTCATTTTTTTTCTCTGTTTTGATAGTTTCTAGTGTAATTTTGAGGATTTTCTTACAAACAACCAACCTTTCAAACCTACAGGCAGGTTTTGGGGTTCAGAGAGTTCACTTAGTTTGCATTGCTTTTGTTTTTGCAGTTCATCCTGTATTGTTTTAAAGCTGTCGTCAGTCTGTAGTCGCTGTCAGTTCCATCACAACCCTGAGAGGACGGGCCTTTTTTCACAGCAGATATTTTACTTGTCACAGCAGGAAAAACACAGTGACACACATTTTGTCGACAGTGACTCAGTTCTATAAAGTTTCCCAGTAAACTGTGACACAGAACAAGACTGCAACATACAAAGACGCTTCGACAACCTGACCTACGTGGAATGCAGTTGTTTCTAATGTTGTGAATTTCACAATTAGTTCCCTCCTATGATGAGGCAAAATGTCAGCTGAGAGGAAAGATCTGTCCTAGAATGAGGTTTCATACTTCAACGGGGTCAGAATATTATTAAATTGCATCTTGTAAAATCATTTTTCATATTATGATGAAGCCCGAATCCTGAACCAGTTAGAAAATTCAACATTTATTATTATTATATAAGCGTGTGTTGAGGGGCAGACGAGTAGAACTGGTGTTAAAATAGAGTCATGAGCTGGGATTGAAAGGGTTAAGACTCAGACATCTATTTAATGTGCTGCAAAGAAAGCACATCGTGTCCGTCCATGGTGCACACCCATCGATCAGAAATCAAAAAGGCAACACACACATGCTGCTTTGTCCTATTTCATACGCCGGGTTATATTTAGTGTTACTTGCAAAATAAAAGATTTATTTGCATTTTCTGTAACTCGTGTAATCGGGGGTTTTATCCCAGCACACTGCTCTGTTTGTTTGATTCTAATCCCATCTGCTGGACACATTTGTGGGATGTTTTTTTTTAATAATCTTGTGTTTTATGTTTGCCATTTCTACAGATACTAAGAAGTCAAAGTGGCCTTTTTCGAGACGTAGTACGGTAGGTGTGTTGTGTGTCTGTCCTTTTGTTGATGTGTGTGCCGGCGTTGGTTTGTTTGGATGTACCTGCAGTGGGCCGTCGGTTCAGACATTGTTCTCTGACCCACTTCTCAAAGCAGATTAGTGCGTTTCCTCTTATCCCTTTTTGGCCCACACAGGTTTTTTTGTAATTGGTCAACACTGTGAAATGCAGAACTAGAACCAAAACAACAAATACACATCCTTGTTTTTTTTCCTCTAGTTAACATGCAGCTATGGCTGAACATGTCCCTGATTTCTCTCTGCTTCTCTTCCTTTCAGACTAAAGGGAAGTCGCAGACAGGCACAGTGTCGGATATTGAAAAGTACCTTTCAACAGCACAGATTCAAGGCTGGAGAAACTCTGAGCTTCAGAAATACAAGGTGAGAAATGAGCGCCGTCAGCAGGAAAAGGTCCTTAAGGATCTGTTTGTTATGTAAATCACGTCGGTTCTGTGTCTGCGGTGACTTCTAATCCGAGCAAAGTTTGAACTACTGAGAGATCCAGATTTCCAATCCAAATACAGCTCTGTGTTTGGCAAATGACACAGAAATCACAAGACAGCAGTTCAAAGGGAAGCTCCTGCAATGTCTAAATGGCACACAGGTTGTGCAAGAACCAGAATTTCTAGGCGGCAACCAGTCGGGTCGACCCCACGCGAATATAAACAAACACTGACGTACTCTCGAGTCGATCATAATGGTGGTAGGAATTTGTCAGTAACAGAATATACAGTTTTTTAGATTGTGGAGTGCCCGAGGGAGGTGCAGCTTTTGGTTACCTCCTTGTCATTGTTGCCGGTCTGTGTGCAGGACTACTCTGTGGCTGAGTTCCTGCGGGACCAGTCGTCCCAGGTGAGCGCTCCCACTGACCCTCAGGGCTGCAAAAGACAAGAGGCCATCTGGGAACTCCTCACCAGCGAGTGCGTTTACTTCCTGGATCAGCTCATGGTTCTCAAAGAGGTGACTGTCCACACAAAGCCTCACAATGCACACACACACACACACACACACAGGACCACAAATACATAGACCAAACCCAAACGAAACCCAACACCTGCTGCTTTTGTGTTTTTCATCATCTCGCTGAATTCCTGCCTTTGGTGTCCATGTAAAAGTCTGTTCAGGTTTTCCATTCTCTGCGGCGCTGGATTAGAAATTTAATGCTAGCAGGACAAATAGCCTGAACCTTTTTTTCTTTTTTTTTCTCCTCTCTCTGACTTCTTTTGTTCCCTTCAGGTGTTTTTGGCCACGCTTACAAACCTGCAGCTGAGGAACTGCCTCACCGATGTGGACTCGTGGAGGCTGTTTGCAAACCTCAACGAGCTCTGCCTGGTGAGACGTGATGCAAATAAGTGGCATGCGGGCCGCTAGTTTTATATTTGCTATGTAAATAATTCAAAACAACAGGAGCCTTCACGGCCTTAAGATAACACTGTTTGGTGCAACATCAGATCAGCTAATGATGGATCTGTGTGTCTCTTGAGGAAGTTTTTTTTTGTAATTTTAGTCTTTATTTACTCATAAAAGCATCGTTCATTTAAGATAAAGTTCAATAATGTCACCAAAAAGGCAACAGACGTTTACAACACATGCCTGGTTTGTCTCCATGTGAGAGCGTCTGTCTGCCTTGTGGTGACACTGGACACTGTTTTTTCTGCTGCAGGTGAGCTTTGGTTTCCTGAACAACCTCCTCCGCGTCATCAGGGACACGCTGGAGATCGCCGAGGGTGGCGGGCCCACCCTGCTGGAGCTGCTGGGCAAGGCAAGTGTGACTCACCTGTGGACACACTTTCTGACATCACACAGTCACAAAGTCCAGCCACAAGACAAATGGAAGAGAAGGGAATACAAAAAAGAAATCACTGATCATACATTAATCAGGATGGATTAACCCTCTGAACTCCAAGCAGTTTCTGGGTGTCTTTTTTTTTTTTGTTGCTCCTGTCACATTTTCCACTGTAATGCAACACCGCTATGGAAACAGTGCAGTCATGGTTATAAGGAGAGAAGACTCATCTCATAAATGTCTTGTGTACAGTTTAACAAGGTTATAAAATCATATGTTTTATAAAACTAAAGTTGAAATTCCTTATTTTGCTTTACAAAAACTGAAAAAGTCAACATGTCCAACATTTTCAAAGTGCCCACAGGTGGTACCAATGTTGGAAAAAACCTTGACTGTACTTAGATTTTTTTTATTTGTTTCCATATTCGTCTCCTACCTGCTCTGTGTAAACACTGCCTGCAGTTCAACCCAGTTCAGAAAGTCCCTGAAGTTTTTTACACATGACTGTTGGGCTCATCTGAGTCATTAATGGCACCGAGGAGGATTAGTTTCGTGCCAACAGTTAATTTTTTTGGTGAACATATCAATGAAAAATGTGGTCACACATGATTGTTTGAAGGGCCGTCGGAAAGCTGAAAATGTGATGATACTTTTTGTTTTTCTGGTTTCTGGCAAGATAAATGGTGTAATTTTAGAGTTTCTTGCTTGTTTGTGTTTTAAAGATGACTTGTTTTTCAAACGGTTCAGACGATTAATCAGTTGGATCTGTTCAACTTTTACCATCAATAATTACAGATAGTGATCATTAGACTTCTTGTATACATCATACGTCCACACTGTTTTGTGTTGTCTTATACGATTCACACAAACTGTTGATCTTTAAAAGTATGCCACGTTTATTGCTGTTATCAATGGCTGCTTTCTAAAACATGTGGCGACATTATCATTATCTGTTGCTTGTCTCTTTTTATCTCAAACCCACAAGAGATTATGTCAAATACGATTGGAATAATAATAAGAAGGAAATGTGTTCTGGGCTCACATTTCCTCGAAAAATAATAGCGGCGCCTGTATTGTGTTGGTAAATTATGCGTCAGAGGAAGCAGAATTCAGTCAAGTTTTCTTGCAGTTTGGCATCTTCCTTTCTGATCTGTTCATCTGCAGCTCAATAGGTGATATGTTTGTGTAACGCTGCTATCTGCTGACAGGCGTTCCAGGAGAGCATATGCCACTGCCTGCAGAAGTACTGCCTCAACTACTCCACGGCTCTGCTTTATCTGGACTCCCTGAAGTCCAGGGAGGACTTTGGATCGTACGTGAAGGTACTGAAAGCAGCTAAACTGTGCAGAGCGGTGACGGGGAACGCCGCGTACCCGAGTGCCAAGTGTGGGAGAGGACGCACAGTAACACTCAAACAGCAAACAGTGGATTCAGTGTGACAGAGACTCCCGGCGACAGGAATGTCACCGTTTGTGTAACTGTGTAACCTTCCCGTCGCCGTGTGTTTGTTGCTCTCAGATATCATTTCTCTTCACATCTACTTCACTGCCCATCCCCCCTTCTTTTCCTTTCACACTCTGACAGGCTCGTTCACCCCTCTGACCTCTCTTCTCTTTTTTTTTTTTTCTTGGTCGCCCTCCTCTCACCCCCTCCGTCTCCCCCTCTTTCTCCTCAGTGGTGCGAGAGGAACGAACAATGCCGGCGGCTGCAACTGCGCGACCTGTTGGTGGCGCCATTGCAGAGGTTAACTCGGTACCCTCTGTTGCTGCGGAACATCGCGAAGAGATGTCAGCTGGATGAAGAAAGCCGAGGCCTGCAGGCTATAGCGGAGCAAGTGGACACTTCGATATGTAAGCAGCCTGCATTACAACATTTCCTTCTTTGCTTTACCTCCAGACTCTCACTGATTGCAGGAGTTGCCGTGCGTGCTCGTTGTGCGACTTCGAGCTTCCCACAGATCTTGTCGGATTACAAATTGAGCGCTCAGGTGTGAGGCACCTCGGCGATGTCATCCAGCCCATCGTGACTCAAGCTTTTCTTCGGCTGTTTGCAAACACGCTAAGCAGATGCAAGTGAGGTCATCTGCAGCAGCACAAAAAGACCGGCTTGTGTCTTTCAGAACAAACAAGTGACATGCCTTGGACGGCAGCCAGCAGGCCCTGACCGTTTGTTCTTCGCAGCATGCCTCCGCCTGCAGACCTGTTGTGGCGGTTTACTGTGTAACTACACGCTCAGACTGTGAGAAATGTGCCGCGGCTCGGCGGCCTCAATGCCACGTCGCTGCGTTGAACAAACAGCAGCGTCCCCAAAAACCAAACACGGCGCGGGGGCCCACACGCAAATCTTCAATTACACACTTTCCCATAACCATTAAAAAGGCGTGCTTTTACCACAAGGCGTGTTTTTACCACACCTTTTTAATGGTTATGATTGTGCAAAGCGCAGCTGACGCGGAGTATTGTAATCACAGCCGAGATGTGCAGGCCAATGTCCTCTGTGGGTGTGGGTAGGGGGGCATGTTTACTGTAAAGGCTGAGAGCTGTAATCTCTCACGACATGGTCACGCCCGTGTTCGGCACAAAGGAAAACACAATGAGATAAAAGGTTTAAGAGCAATGGAAGAGCTATTTACATATTTTATAAATTGCGGTTAACAAATTGATCCTTAACGTGTATGCAGGTGTGAAATGAACGAGTGCATTCGAGGCAGATTTTGTGTTTTTGCCCCACATTGATGTGTCTCATCCTCTGTTTACAGGTGATTTGGAGGGAAAGGTGAAATGGCTGGATAACTACCAGAAGGTGAAGCAGCTGAGAGATGCTCTGGTGTGGCTGCCTGTTTGGGAGAGAGACAAGCGAGCCTTTGTCCCCGAGGTCCGTCTGCTTTATTTGTGTATATATTAATATTTGTGTTCATAAAAAACAAACTAAAGAGCGCTGAGGGGATGAAGTTGGGCCGAGCTCTTTGTACAAAAGATCCAAATGCGTTTCAGAAGCTTAATAATGAAGAAAGTCGACTTAATATAATGTGCACAAAATATAACAGGGCTGCAGGGTGGCGCAGTTGGTTAGCACTGTTGCCTCACAGCAAGAAGGTTGCCGGTTCGCGTCCCGGTGGGGACACCGGAATCTTTCTGCGTGGAGTTTGCATGTTCTCCCCGTGCAGCGTGGGTTCTCTCCGGGTTCTCCGGCTTCTTCCCACAAGGTCCAAAAACATGTTGAGGTTAATTGGTGATTCTAAATTGTCCGTAGGTGTGAATGTGAGTGTGCTTGGTTGTCTGTCTCTAAGTGTAGCCCTGTGATAGACTGGTTACCTGTCCAGGTGTCCCCTGCCTTCACCCTGAGTCAGCTGGGATAGACTCCAGCCCCCCGTGACCCTAGTGAGGCTTAAGTGGTGTATAGATAATGGATGGATGGATGGACAAAAATAACGAAATGAATCTCACATGATCAAGCACGTGGTCAACAAAAAATACGGCATCCCGCTCACCTCCTCCTTCATCAACTGCAGGTGAGCAGGTACCTAAATAAACTTCACCCCCCTACACCTTGTGACCAGCTCCCTACAAATAATCCAAATTATGCAAATAACCAACCACAATAATACCAAACAAATCATGTCAAAATATTATAAGTAATATAAAATCATTCTCTTTATATTTCATCTCTGCGCTGACAGATCAAAGCTTTAACGTGACAGATCTGCACCGATGCTTCATCCTCTCAGCACCTTGTTGTGAAGATAAAATGATCCAATATTTGAAATCTGATACGACGGAAAGAGTATTAAAATTTTAACAATGCGATGCGTCGGCAGCTCATACCTCGGAAGATCTCTCGATATCGTCTTACGTGTCAAACGGTGAAGGTGTTTTGTGCTTCTCTAGAATCTGAAGCATCTCCTGAAGGCCGTCACCCTGGAGAATCTGATTTCTCACAGAAGTCTGCTGCACGAAGGGAAGCTGGTGCTCACAGGTACGTGCAGCTGGCGTGGATCCAACACACTTTACGTGATGAGTGCTTCGGTCGGAGCCAAATCTCACACCATCTCTCTCTGTGGTTCGTCACCAGAGAATACAAAGCTGATCGATGTGTATCTGTTCCTGTTCGACGAATTCCTGCTGATCACAAAGATAAAGAGGAACAAGAAGGTTTGTCGCTCTCTCGTCCCGCTCTCACTCTGATCCGTACCAGCGATAAGTGTTGTAACTGCATGAGCTTTCACTCTCGTCCACCTTTAGAGGTCCATCGGTCCAGACCAGAACCCTCTGAGGCTGCCACAGAACCTGGAGCTGGATCAGCTGCTGAAGGAGGGATGCACCTTCACGGTCATCGACCAGCCCGTCTCTCTGGACCGACTCCAGCTGAAGAACATTGATCAACTAAATGCATCCAGTAATTACAGTTTTTAAGTTTCCTCTCATATCCAGTTTTAGACACAGTTTGACCCTCTGTGCACTAAAGCTGCCAAGTTTGAAAAACAAATGATCAGAGCTGAAATTGTACAAAAAAGAAAGAATCTGATTTTTTTAAAAAAACTTTCCGACCGTCCCTGAACTAATCACGTGTAGTTCAATTGACTTACATAACCTGTTTAAGCGAACCGGATTCTGTAAAAAAACAAAAAAATCCTCACAACTTGGCACAAATAGGAACTTATTAGTGACTCAGCTACGAACAACAGTCGTGTTACGAAAATTCAGGGACTTTTTAGCTGATGGGAGCTGAACTGCAGGCTGTGTTTACATACAGCAGATAGGGGACAAGCGTGGATCAAAAATAGGAGTAGTAGAATATTTGTAGTATGTACAGCCACCATGTTTGGTTTTTTTACAGTGCTGGTAATACCTGTGGGCTCTTGGAAAATAGGTTTGGTGGTTCTGTTTCCATAGAGGTGCCATAGAAGTGCAGGACTTGTGACAGGACAAAACACACTTACTTAGAAACTGCTTAGAGGGTTTAAAGAAAGAATCCACAGACCACAGAATCAGATGTCAAGTCGGGTCACAGCTGTCTGCCTACTAGTTTGTGCACGTTTATGTTTTTTTTTTAAATGAGAAAATGTTTCTGCTTTCTCTCCAGCATCGGGTTTGCCTCATTCATTCATAATAATGCACCAGAACCGCTACCAGCAGTGCATCGGTGCGTTCATCCTGCAAGCTGCGTCAGAGTCGGCCAAGGTAGATCAGCTCAGCTACGAGTTTCCGATCGGGCATGAAGTTGAACAGAAGCTGGCAGAACACTGATTACATTATGTTCTCAGAAATAATGTTTACATACCACATGGATGGGATAAATATATCCAAACTTTTTTTTTTCTGCTTTGTAAACATCCACATACGGCTGCAAATCTTTAGAGAACCACAATTTATTTTTAATTTATGCATTTCTTAATTTAGCTTTGTATGCAAGTCACTTGAGTTGGATTTATGTTGGATGCTTGGTTATTTCTAAACAGTAAAAAGAGAATCAAAGTTAGGTTTCTTCAAAAATGTTGACATCTTAGAGGTCTCATTGGGTCACTAAATTAACATTTCTAATTATTACATTTGCATTTCTTTTGGCATTTCTGTAAATAAAAGCCAAAATAAAGTTTAAAATCAGTTTAACCTCCTGCCTGGTGTGAAGCTGCTTCCACACAGCTCATATCAACACAAATAGTGAGCGATACAAACAGAAGATCTAATATCATCTGGGCTGCTGACTGGTAAATCTGGTAATTCTCTTTCTTAACCGCCTTCATGCGTGACTTTTTTGTTTTTTTTCCAGAGAGCGTGGATGTCAAAGATAGAGGGCGCAGTGACGACGCTGCTGAAGCTGGACTCTCAGCAGCCGCGAGTCAAGAGCTCCTCACTGTGGCTGGAGTCGTCACAGATCTGAGCCGTCCAACAGCACTAGAAGCCATTTGAAATGTTTCTACTGTCAATGTGCACTTCACTGTACCCTCGAGTCTTGTAAATGTCTGCACTAGCACTAGGATTGTTTTTGTAAACTCGACGCCTTCGAAGGCAGCTGCTGCAGTAGTGTACAATAAATATGTGATTATGTAGTTAAGGCCGAGTGTGTTTTTTGTACTTTACTTCAGCTGCTTTTTAAACCTTTTCATCAGGGTCCTCCGTCTTCTTTAAGTTACGTTTATGATCTGTTAAAGAGCTTTGGAACATATTGGATGGTTTTTATCAGCAAATTGGCTCAAGATTTGTGAAATTTGAACAATTTAATTGAGCAAACTCCATCATGTGATTGAAAGCTCCAGATCAGCTGCTAAATGGACCCTGAAGTGATTTTTTTTTTTGTCAGCTATTCTTTCCAAGGTAGTTAATAAACTTTAGCCTCAGTGGGGTT